AATATATTATTTCTATAGGCTATACAAAAAAGACCAAAAAGGACAAAATAAAAAGGCTGAATAAGCTGATCTATAGCATGTTAAATGGTGGTATCCTAGTCTATGAATGATACACCCCCTTAAGCTCACAGAAATGGTTTGACCTAAGTTTTCAGCAGCCAATGACACTGACCCGTTCAAATGGATTTTTAACGCATATTTCACAGGTATTTAAAGGGGTCATATGATGCGATTTCAATGTTTATTTCTCCGATCACAAATGCAGACATGGTTTTATGTTTACACGGCGCGATGCAACGCGCTGATTTTTTCATATGCAAACAACACGTATCTAACGCATAAAATATTTGATGCATTGTTGATGTGTAAAATTTCACATGTTTTTGACCATTTTGGCCTTCCATATATATACGCACAAACATGATCACTGCACGATCTAATGTGTAGTGTCTTATTAACTCACTGTCATGTATTGTGTGCACTACATTTCTTCTCCCTCTTCACATTTCGTGATTTTCTCCACTGCTAAAGATTTATTTTACCATAGTAAAATTATATTTCTGGCTTAAGTAAATTTTTCATCTCAGTTTTTATTACTCATTTAAAATTAGACAAATCTGCTATTATTTTAATCTCCAATCTGTTATTTATCAGTTTAGATAATTTTTTAATGCTTCGCTATAAACTATCATAAGACAGTAACCAGTTTTAAATTCCAATTGCGCAGATGGGGCATGTTGTAACACTGCGTTACAATGTGCCCTGCCTTGCTATTCTATGACATTAGCGATGTAATTCACACTATTTACTTTAATACATTTTAATGATAAACGACGAGAAACAGGTGAATAAAGACTGACAGTCAATGTTTAGTACTGTTAAGAAATTATTATTTCAAGACATGTAAAGCATTTTGGCTCGTTAATTAATTGGGCCGTCCCAAGCATGGTACATTTCACTTACAATGTTTTAGGGTAAATAAAGAAAAACGTATACACTGTAATTATGAAACAAAGCGACATATTTGTACTAGACAAGTGTGAAATTACTGTGGATAAAAAAAAAGTATACTCTGAACCCCATGTGGATTTACACAGTTTGAGAAAGTCAAAAAGTGTTACTTTGTGGCCGGCTCTCCCCTACTCCTAACAATTTTGGACCTTAAGAGCTATTTTAAGGGTTAAGATGCTTTCTGAATTACTTTCTTCTTTACTATGATCTTTTCTTTCATTTTAAGAGGAGACGACCACATTTCTAAGAATTTTCTAAGAATTGTGTCATAGGAGCAATTCTTTGCACTAAGAATTTTCATGAATACGGGCCCTGATCTTTTGAATACATACCTGTATAGTTTACAACTATGTTAGATTTACTTGAAGAGGGTCATTATTAAATACATTATGTAAACCTGGGGTGCAGCTCCAGCGTTTACAATGAATTCAATGGATAATGAGTTTTAATGTGTATTGCTATCTTGTTGAGTATGGAGTGATGTAGTCAATTCAGTATTAGGCCACTAACATACCCCAACTCTTTCTGAGGGAGACACTGAAGTTTACACTGAACACAGAAAGTGATAACTCCACAAGGACAGTGCATGCTTTTAGTGTTATTATTAAAGGCATTAGGATCTGCACTCAAAACAGGTTGAGCTCCCCCGGCTGGCCTCACTAACACTTCTTCCAACAGCGACCTCAGTTTCCCTCAGGATTTCAACTACACAGATACTGACCAGACTCATCCCTGCTTAGCGTCAGTCAGTGGGCAGCTGACAGCTGTTGTTGCTAAAGCTTCCCTTAAGTATGCATACACTTCTGGTATTTCTTAAACATACACATTTAAAACTATATTATAAAATAAAATCAATATATTATATCATATAGATAGATATAATACCATTTAGATTGTTGGCCTTCAGTTACTCATCTCAGCGGTGGTGTCGGCTATTCCTGAGTGCACACTTGGATTGGAATTCTATGTCTATGGGAAGTCAAACAGCTGAAATTTCTGGTCACTAAAATAAAATCATGTTGAAGAGCCTTAGTATTCTAAGCAGCACTCATAAGTTCGTAAATACTTCATTAAAATGGGAAAACCTTTTTCCATACACTTAAAGTTCATACAAAAATACTAGGACTTAAATAACAACATTTCACAAATTTCAACATTTACCCTCCCGATTCCACACAAAGCACACTGGGAACTAGAAATCCAATGTCCAGTTTCTGTTGTCAACAAAAAATCTTTTTTTTTTTTTTTTAGTAGATTGTAGGTGTTGTGCTCCTTTTTCTTTGTCTTTTTTTTGACTGCTGGAATGGATTGGTTAGTGTGCAATACTTACTCATTCCTGTTAAATTGCCTGTGGTTTTGTGTTTCTCTAAAATTTATGTGTTTTAGTGCCCTAAATGCTTCAGTCCTATGACGCTCTCACAGAATGACAGTTACCTTTGACTGGTTCTGCAGCATCCACATTCTTGATGCCTTTCCTTCCATATGGCCTCATGTCATACAAACGTGTCTGACTTGTTTTTATTGTTTGTGAGTAAATAATGACAGAAGTTTCATTTTTGGGTGGACTGTCTCTTTACGACAAAAGTGCACTTATTACACTGTGAATTTGTGTTCTGTTTTTGTAAAGCATTTCAGTATTCTTTATTCCAGTGTTAAAAATAGTTACAATCTTTAGTGTTTGTTGGTGATATGTTTGATATGATGTTTTTTTAATAATAATAATAAAAAAACATTTTTTACGAAAGATATTGTGGATATTCTGAGAACAATAAAATGGAATTAGATGGAATTGTGGTTACCTCTCTCTTCCTTCGGCTTGCTCCCTTTTTATCAGGGGTCGCCACAGCGGAGTGATCCGCACAACCGATTTGGAATTTTGGTTACCTGGTGTTACTAAACTAAAAAAGGTTATGGCAGATGTAAAAGTGAGGGCTACACACCTGGACTCTGGAGAACTGATCGAATAACAAACATGTTCCATAATATGACATAAATGAGAAATTGCTGAGTCACAGCAACACAGCTCAGTGTCATGTCTTCATCTGTTTACACTGCTGACAGAGTTCACTATAAACATGCTTTGTCATTGTCACTGTCACATGATTGTCACATGATTTTTTCTTTAATCCAAATGCAGTTACCAGGTGGAACACAGTGATGACATCACTGTTACATGATATTGCATAACTGTCTCATTATATTTGCCACATCACTGTTGCTGTAGTATGCACTATGCAGGGTCACATGCATCCTTGAAATCCTGATATTTTTTAATGCTTTTGTAATTGTCCTGTAAAATGTTTGAAACGATAAAATTATAATAAATGACTGTGCTGACAAGGTTTATATATATATATATATATATGCATATGCGTTCAAACACACTGTATATGTCGTCCATGGATTTTAGTGAGGCAGGGACAGGGAACACGTAAACAGTCATGATGTTTCCCAATATATATATTTATTTTTTTTTTTTTTTTTTTTTACAGGAATCATTGGGATCAGTCCAGACTGGTGACATCCAGACATATTGCGCAAATATATTTCACCTCAATTTGCAAATATTAAATGCACAGTTTTATTGATTTGTTTTCTCTAAACTGACTCAAACTCTTATATTAGCTAATGTGTAACATTTCCAAAGACATTCTAGTAATGCTAGTAGAAGCAAATGAATTATTAGCTAGATCAATTGTTCAATATTTCATTTCTCTATATTTTTGATTGCTCCAGCATCCCCATGACCCTACATAGGACAAGAGATATTTAATTATTATCATATTTATTTATTTATCTCTCATATGATCTTGATAAAATAATGTAGCTAAATGCACATTTGGTTAATTTTAGATTAGATGACACATTGCTTAAAATTTCTTTCTTTTAGGGCTTGCACCTTGGTATTATTTTAAGTACCCTGGAGTAGGTACCACCAGTTCAGAAAATGTGGAGCTGAACCCGCGGGTCCTTATTCCGTTTGCCAATAATTGTGAACAAAAAAACAAAAAAATCTCATTCCTGAACATTGATCTTGTACTTGTTATCTTCCAGAATGACACCGCAGAGTGTCTCGTCACTTAATGATTCAGCTCGTTCTTTGACGGGCTGGTTTCAGTTCCACTGACTCAGCATTATTATGCGCTGATCGTATATAAGATGATGATCATTTCACTCACAGCTTCGGGAAGATCTAAAAGAGGTTCTTGCTTCAACAGTGATTGAACGGAACTTCGATCTCATCGAAATTTCATATTTTTTTACGTTTTTTATAATAAAACTATAAAACCCGCCGAAATGGAGACTTCTCAGGTTCGCCAGAACTACGACCGCGACTGCGAGGCTTTGATCAACAAGATGATCAGTTTGGAGCTGTACGCTGGATACACATACACGTCCATGGCAAGTGTTTCTTTCTTTTGTTCATCTCTCTTCCAAATCACATCTTTCCATTAATAATCTTATTCTCGGTCATTTCTCAGTGCTGCATTATATCTTGACTTATTATGTGTAAATATTGTATAGCCTGCTTATTTTTGTTCAACCCTATGTTCTAAACTTGATTTTGTTCTTCTTCTTCCGTTTTTTGGCATGTTACATCCTGTGTGCATATCGCCACCTACTTTTGCTGTTATGCAGTCATGGTTTATTTATTATCAATTTCTTCCTTGTTTTTGCTTTTCCTGTTCTTACACACCTATACACAAATATTCAATTATTCGATGCTCCATCCCATTCCTTCTCCCCAGGCTCCACCTGGCGCTGCGTGTTCAGCTCCTCCAGACTAAATCCGTGGTCTCCTAAAGATCCAGAATAGAATAGAGCACCCGCATTGTATATTTAAATCCTTTCACTTAATCCAGTAGTATATATGTATTTTATTAATATCCTGTATCCTTCTCTATCTCTGTTAAACTCATATCCTAATAAGTATTCCAAATCCTTATTTACCTTACCTTTTTTTGTTTAAATATGATACTTGATTTTGTTACTTTCAGGCTCACTACTTCAAACGGGATGACGTCGCCCTTCCTGGATTTGCCAAGTTCTTCATGAAGAACAGTGAGGAGGAGCGCGAGCATGCTGAGAAATTCATGGAGTTCCAGAACAAGAGGGGTGGCCGCATCGTCCTTCAGAATGTCAAGGTGTGTTGACAGTGTTTTGAACAAAGTCTTTTGTTATGGAAAGACCTTACGCATATGTGTATTTTGCTCACTGTTCTGATTGTATCTCACTTCAGAAACCAGAGCGTGATGCATGGGACAATGGACTGACTGCTATGCAGTGCGCTCTTCAGCTGGAGAAGAACGTCAACCAGGCTCTGCTGGACCTGCATAAGGTTGCCTCTCAAAAGGGAGACCCTCATGTGAGTTCTGAAGATTTACCTTCAGACATGAAAAAGACACCTCTCTGAAAAAGCAATAAGAAAAGTGCAAGTCATAGTAATATAATAAGTAACTTGGGGTAGTTGGTGTTGAAGCTGTAATTTATTCTAAGCCTTCATATACATGGCTCTGTCAAGTATTGTCATACATTTTGGGTTGTTGCATGTTATTTTCCTAAATTCTGTTCTGATCTCTTGTCCAACAGCTGTGTGACTTCCTGGAGACTCACTACTTGGATGAGCAGGTTGAGGCCATCAAGAAGCTTGGTGACCACATCACCAACCTTACCAAGATGGATGCTGGCAACAACAGGATGGCGGAGTATCTGTTTGACAAGCACACCCTGGATGGTGACAGCAGCTAAATGCAGCCCTCTGATCATTTGCATGCTTTTAAATTACTTTTAAATCAGGTTTTAAGAGCACATTATATGTTTTCATGACACAGCTCATATACAGAATTGTACATTTTAAACAACTGAAAGGTTTAACAAGTAAAGGTTGATGCAATCTTGTTATAGCCAAGCCATTGCTTTCCTGTTTAATGTTCACGAATTGGTCTTAACCTGGTGTATTTGAGGAATAAACATTTTGGACTGGATTGACTTGTATTTTTATTCAAAATTGTGGGACTTGGTTGTAGGCTATATGTAACCATTTATTAACTTATATCTAAAGTTTACATATATAATTTATGCGTAATGAATCATAAATCATATTTTGATGGTCTCTGTGAGGGATTTTAAAAGTAAACTAATTATTTTAAGAGAAAGACTGTGATTAATTGGTGACCCATTTTATCTACACTATTTTTTTTTTAATTAAGTTGTAGTAACTTAGAGTTTCTAAGAGTTTCTATTTTGTGTATAGTGTTGAAAAGTGGTGCTCATGGTTAAGTTGTGGTTGATTATACCTGAAGGTAAACACATCGACTCTATGAGCAATGACTGTGCTAATGCCAAGTAATTTCTGATTTGTTCATTAAATTTACATGCTAAATAAGTTATATTAAAGGGTTAGTTCACCCAAAAATGAAAATTAGGCTGCGTTTTACTCACCCCCGAGGCATCCTAGGTGTATATGACTTTCTTCTTTCAGACGAATCCAGTCAGAGATATATTAAAAATTGTCTTTGATCTTTCAAGCTGTTTAATGCCACTCAGCGG